TATATATATATATGTATATCATGCAATACAAAACTAACAGCTAATGAGCAAACCAAAAGGACTGTATAAATTAATCTAATAATATGAAAGATGTAACTGCAGATCACTTTTTGAATTTCATTGAAAAAATCTAAAGGACATTAAAAGTTCTCATACATCTCTGAATAAGGATCACCATAATAAGTAAGACTGACCTCTTCAGTTGGATTTTTATTTCAGTATAACTAATATAAATCCAAAGGCAGTGTTCATAGAAATTGAAAGCTGATGCCATGTGTCCCAGTTACTCTTCTCTCGTTGCTGGGACAAGACACCCAACACCCAGAATGAAGGAATGAAAGGCTGACTTAGCTCACAGTTAGCGCAGGCTTCAGCCCATCCTCCGCTGGCTACAGGACAGAGCAGCAGGTGGCAGAGGGCAGCCTTTCATGGTGTGGAAAACAGCAAAGAGCAAAGGAGGGGCAGCCTGTGCACCAGCTAGGAATCCTCTCTCCCCTCCTTACACTGTAATGCAGATTATTGGCCTCAGGGGAGGAGCCACAGCCATACCCACAACCCCAGCATTCAACCTCTAACTAATCCGAAACTCTAGAAGCTGTCCCATGACTGCGTGGCGCTTTGAGGGGACACCTAGACACAATCCACAACACCATGTTTATAAACATAAAGGTATTTGGACTTACAGGAGAAAGAGCAATGAAGGAGAACTGCTCCATGATTTATTAAGATTATTGCACTGCAAGAGAGCACAATGCACTGTACACATAACCGTGTAATGGTGTAGGGACAAAGCTTACTCTAATTTACAGAAAAATAAAGGAGCACAATATAGGGAAACTCAATTTGTAATTACGATGCCACTACAAGTCACTTTGGGAGGATAAGGAGCGTATCAGCCAATGGTTTCTGATAACTTGTACAACTTATACACTTGATAAAGTAACACAACTAAATATGTTAAGATGTAAGAGGAAAATATTCTCATGGGACAAGGGAAGATATGTACAACACGTATGACTAACAGAAATTTTATTTGTAATATATCGTAAAAATACAGCAGCAGGCAAGCAAAATATAAAAGCATGGATAACGAATGGGAAGTATTTATCAGGAGAAGCCATAAGAAGGCCAAATGAATGCATGAAATATTTTCAGTGTTACTTACATTTAAGGAAATGTAAGGCTAATCAACATACTCTCGTAGTACAAAACAGATTGACATGACACTGTAACGTAAGTGTGTATATACATTAATAAGAACATCTATAAACTAAATACACAGTGTAAAGTAACTTTCCAGGCATGTATCCAAAATTTCCAATGGATATTGGATTTTTTTTCCTTTTTTAATTTTTCTTTTTTTATTTTTTCCCATAATTTTATTGAGAAACAAATAGCAATGAGACAGTTTCAAATCAAAGTGGTAGGAGAGTTTCAATAATTAACACATTGCATACATTCTTCCTAGTGGTTAACTGCTGTACAATCAATGAATATTGGCAATGACAAATATAAGCAAATTCATTTGGAGATACCATCAGAAAATTCTTAAATATATTTACTATGAGTAAAATTAGAAGCCGCAACAGTAATAGTAAAATACTGCTGTATGTAAACAACAGGCTGACATAATAAATTTACGCAAAATAAATTGAAAAAAACCCAGACAATATGCAAAGATAAGTAAGAATTAATGAAGATACAGATTTTAGTAACGTTACAGTTCTTAAGTAAAGAGATGTTTTAAAATGCCATTTTTTTTGCCCCCCCTCCCCAATAGCTCAGCAGATTAAAGTGCCTGCAAGTAGGGCCCGGGGGTAAGATCCCCAGGGCCTGCCTTGCCAACCCCGCCCCCGGGGTGTGCTGAAACAGCAATTGAGAATGGGTGTGGTGGTGTGTGCCTGTAATCCCAGCTCTTGGGAGGCTGTAAACAGGAGGATCACTATGAGTCCGATCTAGTAGTGAG